TTGTACAACAAATATTATTTTTTAATATTACAATAACGCTATATTAATTCAAGTAATGATATATTCAATCTTAGCTCTTATAAAATAACCCAGTCAACTCTCATGATATCTTTTGCGCTTCTCTTTATTGAGTTCTTCATATATTTGATTGTTAAAATCATAGGAAGATGAAGATAGTGAACTCACAATAATGAATAGATGCACAACCAAACTTTCAATTCGATTTTTCGAAAAAGTAGAAACGACACTATTGTAGAATAGTAGATGTGAGTAAAATTTAGGTCAATTTAATTAAGTTGAAGCTGAAAATTAGAAATATGAATATCATATTTTGAGTTTAGGCTAAATTAATTAGTTAACAAATTTATTTTGAGAAAAATAAAATAATTTGGCTTGTAAGATAAAAAAATTATGAAAATTCGGTTATCGATTTAGATATTTGTTCGGGTATTTAACTTAAGAAGAATTGCTCGATTCGATTCGGATCGGGTCGGGTCTGGTTCGGGAGTTTTATCCAACCCTACATACTTCTGAAATTTTCAACAAAACGATAAGTCTCAAAATCGTAATAACTTAATATAGTATCGTAAATTAAATCTTATCTAAAAATTTATTGATTAAAGTTCTTCTTGAATTTTATACAGGTAAAGTCGTTTAGAAATTTGAAAATAAAATCAAATAAAATCCTTTAAAAAAATAAAAAGTTAATGAATTAAAGTCAAATAAAAAGTTTTATAAAAAAAGATAAAAGAATAAATTAATAAAGCATGCCTAGAGATGCCAAACGCGCATTAAGCGATTTACTTACCGTCAAAATAAAACATTTTGCCTTTGCTCACGTCTAGGGGCCGCCTAGACGCGCTTTGCCTTTTAGAACATTGCCTTACACCTGCCCCCAACAATCACTAATAATTTCTCAGGAAAGCAATTAAAAATATTGGATTTGTTTTTTCATGAATTATTTGAAATCTTTATCGTTCATTTTTTATTCTATTTCTAACAAAAGTTGAATTTGCAACGGTAAATTGGTGCATGGACCACACAAATTAACTGGTGTGTGTTGTGACCGTTGGATATTAAAATACAATGGAGAAATGTTAAACTTGTCTAATCCAATTTCTAATGACTAATTAAAAATAATTATTACTTTTAATAAACAAATTTGTTTAGGGCCCACGTCAGGGCCAATAAAACGTGTGTAGTGACACGGTATTACGTGTTCTGCGTTACAGCTAATAATAAACTCATGAAATACGAAAGCTTTAATTTGGCGCTACAAAAAAACCCAGTTGTTTTTCTTGGGAAGGTGTCATGACATCAAATCATTGAAGTTAAATAATTAAAACGCTTCGTAAATCTGAGTAGTTGGATAAATAACAAATCATTGCAATCATTAACCCCAGCCAGTTGTCGTCCATACTCCATTTCACACAGTAATCCTCGTCTAAGAGAGCATCTTCCGAGGCTCTAAGAAAGCATCTTTCGAAGCTCCTAGAGAGCATTTTCCGAAGCTCTAAGAGAGCATCTTTCGAAGCTCTAAAGAGGGCCCCTTAACTTTCAAAATCTCTAAGAGCATCTTAAGATTTAAAATCGTACCTATACTTGGGGGACTATTGTTATCCCCCTAGTTTCGAAGTATTAAAAGAATGGGCTACGAGGCAATGCTTTGGACGGAGGCAAGAGGGAACCCTATGGGCCAAATTTGGAAATATCTCAGAACTGATTGATGGGACGTCAACAATAGTGTCAATGACCCCTTTAATGGTGTTGTCAGCCTACTCCTAGTGCGGCTGACCTTGTGTGAAACATTAAATGCAACGAGTATATGTGATGTGAAACTTCAGTCTAGAAGATGTAGCCGCGTGGATTCGATCCAACAGTCGCCACATGGGTTGAGAGCAATATAAATAATCCTACTTTGTATCAGAAAAGGGAGGGGGAAAAACGAAAGAAAATAATTTGATTCTAGTAAATGAGAGAAATTGAAAAAGATTTACATACGTTGTTCTTGACACATTTCAAAAACGCAATGGCACGTATATCAGTGTTCTAACATGAGATATCATTTTACCATATCTATCCTTCCACATATTCAATGATAAAGAGGAAACTTATCCTTGATCATTGGAGTTAGGCAATCATTGATAGCGTGATCGCCTTCGCATCACACCGTCGGAGTCCGAACGATTCTTTTTGTCTCTTGCCAAAAAGTGCCTCCTGTGTCCATCCCAGATAAATTACCATTCCAGTTCCGGTAGAAACGCGCCGGATTCGTACTTGACGTGGCCGGAGTGGGCCTGGCATATGTTGAGTTCATTTTTTGGGGTCAACAAATATTTATGTAATTGAGCTTGTGTTTCGGGCCCTAAGATTCATATGGGTTTGACTTTCATGAGTGAGGAAAATCCTTATTTAATAGTGATGTTCGCATATTATTTCTCATAAATTTAAGGTTTGAAGTTATGATCATGAGAAAATAGTGGCATTTTACACACGTGAGTCTCCTATACACTTTACTATGTTTTGAACTTGATTGAGTACATGGGAAAGTTTTCTTGATAATGCCTTACTTGTGAGCACGTGCATTTTTGAGTTCATCTGTTTGTCGGAGACATATACAATTTTTTAAAACGTACTATGTTTCTTAATGTTCAAAAATTCAGTGATATTTTTGTCAATTAGGATGTCGCTGGCTTATCATTGGGCCACGCTCAAGCGATAGAAGCAGAAGCTCACTCGTTCGCTTTTTACCAGGTCCTCACTTGAGCGACAGGTCGTAACTTTGAATTTTAACGTTATTTTTCAGGGTTTTTTTGCATTTTCCCACTTTTTTCTCTCAATTTCATTCTTCATCCCATTCTTGCTTCAATTTTTGGCATTTATCTTCATGGGTTGGTGTTTGTCGTACAAAGGCATCGATTATTGCACAATTTTTGAATAAAATATTAGTTTTTTGGACTATTTTGGGTGATTTTCCACTGTATTTTCTATTTGTTCTTCATTGTTTTTGCATTTGTCACCCTCTAGACGTCAATTAGTGGATTGGGGTGGTCTTTGGTGGTTGGTTGAGAGTTGTTGAAAGGTTTTTTTTTTTTTTACTATTTTTGGACGGTATGTCTTTGGTATTTTTGGTCCCTTTTTGGCGTAAGTTTTAAATGTTTCAATGGAGGTTGGATTCTTTGGTAGTTTGCGGTGAGTTGGTTGAGGTGTTTTGTTTGAAATGGTGTTGAGTTCGGAGTATTGATGTCATTCGCATTGTAGTTGGTGTTGAGTCTACGACGTGACATCAAGTTACAGCGGCGTGTCATCACGACATACGTTACGTCGTCGCGTCTTACAGTCTGGGCATCACGTCACGATGTCTGACTTCATTGCATCACGTCACCCCCGTCTAGGTATCACGATACTTGTATGTGCATGGGTCCTTGGGTGCATTGCATATATACTATGTGCCTCGGTTTATGTGTATTCACGCATTTCATGCATCTCATGTGTTCTGTCATGGTTTTGATGGATTGGTTTTACTCGTTTCAAACGCCGCCTAAGAGAGTTCGGACTGCAGTTTCGACACCTGGTATCTCGACTTCTTATAGTAGGTCTAGGTTTATCTCTGCGATTGCCCAAGATACTCCTGGGTCACAGTTTTCATTATGTCCCGTCTTATTTGAGTACGAGGTCATTTTATCTGATTTGTCACCCGACCTCGTTGTTATTTTCACTTCCCATGGATGGGAGCCTTTATTGGTCGAGTTGACACCTCTCCCTAGCCTTCTTATTCACGAGTTCTATGCTAACATTCATGACTTTAGCAGTTCATCTTTTAGAGTATTTCTTCGGGATAGGACAATTAGGATCACTCTCGATGTCATATTAAGTCTTGTTCATATTCCTAAGGTTGTTCACCCATTATTTCCCTATCTATCTGTTGGGAAACTTCGGTCTGACTCTCTAGTCCGTTCTACGGTATTTAACACACTGTTGGAGGGTAGTCCAGGTGCGATACGCACTGGTTCTCTTCCCACTGACCAATAGATCTTAGAATAATGCTACTTGTACATCACCCCTTACACAAGGGGTGACATAATGCCCAAGTGGCACCTCCTCATTAGAGGGGCGCTTCGGCCCACATGTGGGGCCTAGACACCCCTCCAATGAGGATGTGCCACTTGGACATTATGTCACCCCTTGTGTAAGGGGTGATGTACAAGTAGCATTATTCAAAAATAAATTAATAAAGCGTGCTTAGAGATGCCAAACGCGCATTAAGCGATTTGCTTACCGTCAAAATAAAACATTTTGCCTTTGCTGACGTCTAGGGGCCGCCTAGACGCGCTTTGCCTTTTAGAACATTGCCTTACACCAGCCCCCAACAATCACTAATAATTTCTCAGGAAAGCAATTAAAAATATTGGATTTGTTTTTTCATGAAATTTTTATAATAGTGAGAATTATTCGAAATCTTTATCGTTCATTTTTTATTCTATTTCTAACAAAAGTGTCCATTTTGCATTTGCAACGGTAAATTGGTGCTTCTTTTGTACATGGACCCCACAAATTAACTGGTGTGTGTTGTGACCGTTGGATATTAAAATACTAAACTTGTCTAATCCAATTTCTAATGACTTATTAAAAATAATAATTACTTTTAATAAACAAATTTGTTTAGGGCCCACGTCAGGGCCAATAAAACGTGTGTAGTCACACGGTATTACGTGTTCTGCGTTACAGCTAATAATAACCTCATGAAATACGAAAGCTTTAATTTAATTAATCTCATTTATTAAACCTGTAATCTTCTTCTATATAATAAACGCAAACACAGCCCCATTCTCTTACTCTCTCTACAGCAAAACTGACAGTGAGTGTCCTTTCATTCTAGAAGCAATCCAAATCTCACTTGTTTATATATAATTATTTAAGACAGGGCTCAGAAATTCATATTATATAATTTAACGTAATCTCCGAAAAATTGGGATTCTGTGAGTGTGTTTTGTGATTGAATGGGGAGTTATTATAATGGAGGTGGAGACACGGAACAGCAGCAGAGGCAGACGTCATCGGCTCCGTCCAAGCTGAAGAAGAAGCCATCCGCGGCTTTGTATCAAGCTGGTTCTGAGGTTGATGATATTGTTACCCTCTTACATGGCTCCGATCCGGTGCGTGTCGAGCTTACTCGCCTTGAAAACGAAGTCCGAGGTGGGTTTTTCTATTTGAAGGTTTTTGTTTTTTCTAGAGAATTTTCTATTATTATCTGTTTTGTATTGGAAGAACTACCGTTCGGTTTTTCGAGTTTTAAACGGAGACATGCAAACAGAGAGCTATAAAACGATAGGGGTAAAATGGTTGACGTTTTATTGAAGAATTGAACTTGTTTAATTCTTCAATATACGATGGAGAATCTTCTTCAATTTCAGTTGAATTGCTGAAATTTGAGAAATTTTATCATAGTTGTGGAAGAATTAATATACATTTCCTTCAAATTTTAAAGCTACCTTTGGAGATTTGAGTTCTTGACTTTTGTAGAGGATTCCATATGTTCGGTTGAAATTCAAATCTCAAAATCTTGATTCCACTGCAAATGACTTGGGACATGGTGCCATGGTGGTCACTCGATACAGATTTTCGTTTTTCTTTTTCTGTGTTTCAATGGAATGAGAAAGGACGTGGAGTTTTTGCAAGACTTCGAACGTTCAGATAATTTTAGTATTGGCCTCAGAAGACAAATTTCCATCAAGAACAATTTGGACAGCATGTGGATGTGGTGATGAGTGAACAATAAAACAAATTTATCGGTCCCTCTCCAATTGCCCACATAATGTACTAGGCACATCATTTCCCATTTTCAAGAGGTTGCATGGTGTTCTTTTTAAGCATCCTTGTATTTGTTATGCTTTGAGATTTATAGTTTGGCCTGGTTAGTACGGTCTCAGTGACCATGGCTAATCTTATACCATTTTTTATGGTGGATTCATAAAACCAATATATTTCCCTTTCATTTATCACCCAGTTGTGGCCTTGGAATTATCAAACTAAAATTATAGAAAATAGTAAAATTTATGACAATGTTGGGTTTGATTTGTGGCAAATATAGAGAAAAATCGCCTGGTTAAATATGCAGTTTTTTAACATGTAATAATACCCTGTTTTATGGCTATGAGTTGTTCTCAGGTGTCATAAGGTGTTTGGTTTAGGTTTTTTATAACTTTGCACATCAAATGTGTAGAGTGTTTATCAAAATAAATAAAGCAGAAACTGCAAAACTTCTGTTGGATAAATACAGGAGATAAAACGTTACCTACATGAAAAGGCAAAATTAATTTTTTTTTTTTCCTCAATGCTTAGCCGATCTTCTCTTCAATGCTTTTGGTCAACTAGTTGTTTTTTTTTCTATTAGCCTATCTAAGGGCAAACTATACTTCATTGAAGAATACTGTGTTTTAGTCAATTGGGTTTTTGGTTTTTCTTCAGTATAAAATAATTGGAACTATCTGCCCCAATTTCGGTGAGGCTTTTATTATTAAAACTTTGAGGCTATTTAAGTTGTACATTGGAATTATCTGTAGGCTGAAGTAGCAAGCAACTCCTTGATCAAGTGGAAAGAGCCTCACAAAAATCTTCATTATTTTGCTTTTTAGTGAAAAAAAAAAAAAGTTTTAGTTAAATATACTTTTTATTAAAGAAGATTTCAAAATTTGCAGACAAAGATAGAGCGCTGGGAGATGCCAATGCAAAAATAAAGGCTTTGAAGTACTCTGAGCGCCTCAGAGAGAAGGCAGTTGAAGAGGTATATCAATTTAAGTTTACGGGTTCCAATGCTTTTAAGTGTCACTTACACATATTGACTTCTCTTCTTTACGCCCTATTTACTTGTATTAACTATTTGTTTTGTGGTGAGCTGATCATATGTATAAGTAATTAAGAAAAGCTTGTTTACTATTTCATGTTCATGCTTTTTCAGCTAACTGACGAGCTAAATAAAGTAGATGAAAAGCTAAAAGCGACGGAATCTCTCCTTGAAAGCAAGGTATATGTCAAGTTTTTTAAATTTTCACGATTTGGCTTTCAATTGCTATTTTCAGCTCCTTCCCTTCAACGTCTTTCTAAAACAAAAAAGCTACTTATAAACTTTGAGATTTGAAATAAATGCTGATAATGTAATTTTGAGTTACTTGAAAAATTTCAGAATCTAGAGAATAAGAAAATAAATGAAGAGAAAAAAGCAGCTCTGGCCGCACAATATGCTGCAGAAGCAACACTGCGGAGGGTGCATGCTGCCCAGAAAGATGATGAGATGCCACCGATCGAGGCAATAATAGCACCACTGGAGGCTGAGTTGAAGCTGGCAAGGTTGGAGGTACTTATCAACTTCATGACATTTCCTTTTTCAATTTGAATGCTAAAACAATGTTTTTACAGCTGGGGATCAATATACATAATATAGTTTTTCAATGGGCCTTTCATGAACTTATGTTTTGTTAGGTAGCAAAGCTACAAGACGATAACAAAGCGCTTGATCGGCTTACTAAATCTAAAGAGGCTGCTCTTTTGGAAGCAGAACGTTCAGTCCAGATGGCTTTAGCAAAAGCTTCTTTGGTTGATGATCTCCAGAACACAAACCAAGAGCTGATGAAACAGATTGAGATATGCCAGGTTTACCTGTTTTAGAGCTTTTCTTGTTTAAATGAATGCATGCAAAATAGTTACGGCTGCTGCTGTAGATTCTTACACTACACATGTTGATTTTATTTAGGAGGAGAATAAGATATTGGACAAAATGCATCGGCAAAAGGTTTCTGAGGTTGAAAAGCTAACTCAAACCGTTCGTGATCTCGAGGAGGCTGTTTTGGCTGGTGGGGCTGCAGCCAATGCTGTACGTGATTACCAGCGGAAAGTGCAAGAAATAAATGTAAAAGGATAATTCTGGTTTTTTAAACCTTATATATTGATATGATGAACCTTTCTTAAGACGTCAAATCTTGTGCAGGAAGAGAAAAGGATTCTAGACCGTGAACTAGCTCGTGCTAAGGTTTCTGCAAATCGTGTTGCTGTTGTTGTGGCCAATGATTGGAAAGATGCCAATGACAAAGTAATGCCAGTAAAGCAGTGGCTTGAAGAAAGAAAATTCTATCAGGCATGTTTATCATTATCACTTTAAATGTTCTATGAAATTTGATACTTCTATTATAATGTTACAAATTTACAATACATTAAGACTGAACTGCTGTCGAGGGACTATAATAATGTTGATTCGTCTTTTTTGGTTTTGTCACGAGATGAATTAGTGAATAATTTAATTAGAATCATAGAGTGATGTTATTAAACAAGAATTTTAGGTTGTTACATAGTTATGATAAAAATCTTCTAGTAATCCATAATCGTGCATGTTATATTGAATTGCATAGATATCTCAAACATTAGGTTCTTCTTGCAGATGATTTAGCTTCCAGACTTTATTGTAAAAATCTTGCGTCTTCGCTAGGTTACTTTCTACCTCTGCAACTTAACAATAGCTCGAGAATTGAACTCTCTATCATATTACAGATTCCAGTTTTTCCTCTGTCCAAGTTTAACGACTTGGCAAGTTCTAAAGAGTGGTATTTTGTGTTCCTGATATGATAAATGGCATGAAGTGATGTGTAGAGGAATTGTTTTAGTTATTGTTCGAGAAACTTATGCCAAAAAATGTGTATGTTTTAAGAAAGTGGAGAATGACTCAAGACATCTCCAGATGAAAATGTGATCAGTAATGGATGAAGGGAATATCTAGTCCATTTTCTCGGGTACAATAGTTCCAGCCACCATCTAATCGTTTCAATTTTCTGGATAACCTTTGCAGGGAGAAATGAACCAGCTGAAAGATAAACTGGCAATTGCAGAGCGTGCAGCTAAGGCAGAAGCACAGTTAAAGGTGAGGAAACAGATTTTTTAATCCCCCAACTGTTGTTTCTGATGTTTATCTGATCTAAATATCCTCCTTGTTGATTTGTTTCTTAGGAAAAATACCTGTTACGATTTAAAGTTTTAGAGGAAAGGCTTAAAGCATGTCAAAATGGTATTTCCCGTGCTTCGTTACGATGTGGAAATGTAAGCAATGGGACTTCACGGAGGCAGTCTCTTGGAGGAGCAGAAAGCTTGTCCAGGACATCCTCCCATGGGTTTCTATCTAGAAAAACAACGTTTCAATCTGGGTCATCCCGTACAAGTAGTGCTTATGCATTGTTACAGCATGCAAAGAATTTGTCGAGCTCATTTGATGATGGTAGTGGACCAGCAGTAGGTGATAAGCTGGTTTCAGATGTAGACGAGAAAGATAATCCACCAAACAGTGCCAGCAAAGAGACTCAAAATAATGGTAGGATTACTTCCCAGGAGAATGGGGATGAGAGTGAAAAAATGAAAATGGAAAATGAAGACTATGTTTCTGGAACATTGTATGATATGCTGCAGAAGGAGGTTATAACTCTGCGAAAAGCTTGCCATGACAAAGATCAAAGCCTTAAAGATAAAGATGACGCAATCGAGGTTCGTTGCTGCATTCTTTGTTGTATTTTGCATGACATAACCCCCTCCCCCTTCTTTCTCGATCTATCCTTTTGAGTAATGGGCTTTTTTGGTGTGGAAATTATTCAGACTTTGGCAAAGAAGATTGAAACATTGAACAAGGCAATGGAAGTAGAGGCCAAGAGAATGCGAAGAGAAGTAGCTTCTATGGAGAAGGAAGTTGCTGCGATACGCAATGGCAAAGAACAAGATCAAAGAAACAGACGTGTTGGTGCTGTAAGAGAAGCCGTCAATGCTTCTCATTCACTTTTAGTGAGGTGAATAAGTTCATGCTTCGACAATAATGCTTTACTAGTTTTTGATAAATGTCTAAAAGTTTTAGGAGTAGTGCCGTGACCAATAGATAGATGTGTGCCTAGGGCTTGGGAGAAAGTTTTATGGTTTAGTGAGTTTGTGTGATTGACCAAGCAAAGAAATTAGTATTTGTAATATGAAAACAAAATTTCTGCTTTGTATGGTCATGTGACATGAGCAATTGTGTCATTGGTTTGTGTTTGCTTTTGGCTTTTGCTAGTCTCATTTTACTACATGAATTGAAAAATATGTTCATGCCGTACTTGTTTGACATGGAGAGGAAAATGAAAAAGACAACGAGGCGAGAACGAACAGCCCGTTTTTGCTATCAAGCGAAAGTAGCAGTCGATGGGAGGATGTGGGTAACATTCATATTTGACAACACTTCTCGTTGTCAAATCTCTACATCGTGACATTTATTAGAACCTCATAATGCTCGGAGTACTTTTATCTACAGTTCAATAGACCAAGAACTCGCTAGTAGTATGAATTGCTAGTTTTCTCTTAATTGACTCAAAACTATTTGCCTCATTCTTATAACAAATATGTGTATCATTGGTTGCTTACAATCTAGCACAAAACTTTCATAACATGAACAAGAAGATCTAGTGTTCAAATATGTGACAAATATCTACTAAAGGTGACATGTTCACAAATCAGAGCTACCGAGCTTGAATTTTATGTAAATGCAAAAATCCAACAATTCTATGACTATGTAATATTTTCTATGATAAAGAGATTATCATGGACAAGTAGGTTACTTATTCAAAAGTTTAACAAGTAAAATAAAACAAATATCTCCATGAAATCAACTAGAAGACCACTTGTGTGACATAAATAGAATAAAATAGGAAATCGTTGGGTTTGGGGGGTGGGGGGGGGGGGATATTTAATTAATTGAAATTCTAAAATATTATAGAAACGACAACAGAGTAATAAAGTGGTAAGTGAGTTAAAATAAATTCAAATACTAAAAATTTTAAGAATTATTGAATGAATCATATGCAATGAATATAATATGTTATTGAAACTATCATATGCAATGCATATTTAATGTGTTTGATTGCTTAATTTTCAACTGGAAAAATGTTTTTTTTTAATTGAATTTTTTAGAAGTACTGTGAATTGCCTAGAAAATAAAAATATACCCCCATAAAAAAAATGATTTCCTTGTTTTTGAGAAAAACGTGATCACATGATCAACTTTTGAAAAATATTTTTTTTATGGAAAAAATATTAATCAAACACTCGAAAAGTAGGAATCTAAATAAAAAGAAAGAAGACATTTTTCATAAAATATAAAGCCAATCAAACATACACTAAGTTATAAAGACAATAGTCTAAGTTATTAATTTATTGAATAAAATAATTATGATATCATCTTCTCTAAATTTTTATTTTTACACAGAGAAAATAAATTATAAAAAAATTACAATATTAAATACTATCTTTTAAATAAAATAAAATATAATACAAAAAATGCATGGCTGAAATTTGGTTTTCGGTTGTCTTGCTAAAATTATATATAAAAAATAAAGATTTTTCAGAATAATAAAACCAATATAAATGCATAAAACTTGATTGAAAAATCAATATTTCATCACCAAGTTTTATTCGCTACTCACAAAATAAAGACTACAAGGTGTGTCAATATGTATGTCTTCACTTCTTCCTTCTTGTTCTTTCTTTTTCTTCTTCTGAAACCCTAATCAACAGAATTGGAGGAAAAGTAGTCATTTCGTCCAAATCTTGGTGTGAATTTGCAATTTTTAATATCGAATAAAAGAGAGATGAATGTTTTAAAATATGTATAACAGAATATGCAAGCAACAAGCAACAACAATAACGTGATGAAGATCAGCTGGAATTAGTTAATGTAGTTAGTATAGTTCTGGTTGTTAAGCTGTCAATGCTTATGTGTTAAACTTAGATTGATTGTATAGTTAAAAGTTAGTTAGAGTTAGTTCAGCCTCTTATTTTTCTCAAGGGTAATATACAATTTTTAGTTCCCTTCATTCGTTTCAATTTGTCCAATATGGTATTAGAGCTATGAATATGCTTCATTCTTTCTGCATTCTTCCACTTCAATTGGAATCTCTGATTCAATGATCAATTTGGTTCAAAGAACATCTATATCACACGGCAATGTCCATAGATGTTTCGAATCCGAACCAGTTATCTTCATGAGTTGGTAATTCCCCCATTGATGATGTATCGAGTCCATATTTCATTTATCACTCGGATAGCACATGTCATATTCTTGTCTTGCAGTCTTTGACCGGAGACAATTATGCATCATGGAGTAGAGCAATGGTTATTGCTTTGTCAGTGAAGAACGAGATTGGATTCATTGATGGATTTATATCTCGACCTGAAGGTAACAATGATCTTCTTAATAACTGGATTCGTAACGACATCGTGATTTCGTGGATCCTTAACTCTATATCTAAGGAAATATCTACAAGTGTCATCTATTCTGAATCTGTTCATAACATTTGGATTGATCTGAATGAGATGTATCAATAGATAAATGGACCACGTTTATTCCAATTAAGGCGTGAACTGATGAACTTCGCTCAAGGTCAATATTCTGTTGGCACATATTATATGAAAATTGATAACTATTTGGGAAGAACTAAGTAATTACAGACTGGTGTGTTTTTGTGGATTGTGCAATTGTGGGGAAAATAAAAAGTTAGCTGAACACTACCAAATGGAATATGTCATGTCTTTTTTGATGGGATTAAATGAATCATTTGCTCAAGTCAGAGAGCAATTGCTCTTAATGGATCATATTCCTCCACTAAATAAAGCTCTCTCTTATTTCTCAAGAGGATCACCAAAGAAGTGTTAATGCCAACACCAGTATCTTTTGTTTCTATTTATTCCATGGCATTTTATGCCAAAATTGATCCTAAAAAAACTAATATAGGACAACTGCGTAAGAAGGAAATGTCTATATATACTTACTGTGGTTGTGCAGGTCATGCAGTAGATAATTGCTGCAAGCGGCATGGATATCCCCCAGGATATAAAAGTTTGTCAAGTGAAATGAATTCTTAGTCCAATTATGTTATTGTTAATCAAACTTCTGAGTCTATTTCATATCAAACCCAGGGCAATGTTGGAGACTTTATGCAGACTTTGAATGCTACACAATATCAGCATCTGATGAGCATGTTGAGTAGTCATTTGGCGTCTGCAAAGGTTGATGCAGCAACTGATGTACATTCTAATATGGTGTCAGGTACATGTTTCTCATTTCTCTCAGTCCATTACTCAATTCTCCTAGACATTGGATGGTGGACTCAAGAGCTACCAGTCATATCTGCTTCAATTATTCAGCCTTTAACACAATGAAACCAGCATATAATTCTTTTGTTATATTGCCAAACAATATGAGAATTCATGTAAGGTTCATTGGTACAGTTAAAATTGCTCATAATCCGACTCTTCAAGATGTGTTATATGTCCCACAATTCAAGTTCAATCTGATATCGAGTCAGATTTCTCACTAACTTATGTGTTATTCAGGACCTACGCAACTTGAAGATGATTGGCAAGGGTAAAAAAGTTGTTGATTTGTACATATTGAGTCTTAACTCATCTGATCTACTACAAAGCAACTGCAGTAATTCATTTGAAAATACTTGTATTTCAGTTTCTTCAGTTGTAAATAATGTGAGTGCTCACACTTGGCATCACAGACTTAGCTATTTATCTTTTCAGAAGTTAGACATGTTAAGAGAACAATCAGGTTTGGCTTGTAATAGACACACAAATTATAATTCATTACCTTGTGATATATGTCCTTTAGCCAAAGAGAGGAGACTTTCTTTTACATCCAACAATCACGTCTTCTAATGCATTTAACTTGGTTTATTGTGAGACTTGGGGACTTTACCATGTTCCAACACATTCTCAGATATTTTCTCACATTGGTGGATGATTGCATACGGTTCATATGGGTTTATCTCATGAAACATAAGCCAAATGCTCATTTTATCATTCCTAAGTTCTTTAAGCTGATTGAAACATAATTTCATACAATGATCAAGAAATTCAGGTCAGACAATGCACGTGAGTTACAGTTTGTTGAGTTTTTCAATTCCAAATGAGTACTTCACCAATTTTCTTGTGTGGAGAGGCTTGAACAAAATTCAGTGGTAGAAAGAAAACACCAACATCTTCTAAATGTGGCTAGAGCTTTATACTTTCAAGCTCGAGTACCAATTCAGTTTTGGAGAGAATGTATCCTTACTACCACATTTCTTATCAATAGAACACCATCATCTATCTTACAAAACAAATCCCCATTCTATCTCATGTATAAATTTCCAGTGGATTATAGCATTCTTAGAGTATTAGGGAATTTATGTTTTGCATCTACCTTACCTTTTTACAGATCAAAGCTTCATCCCACTACTGGAACCTGCATAATTGTTGGTTATCCTCCTGGAATAAAAGGGCTATAGATTGCATTTGGGAATTAAGGGTTTCAGACTTTTAGGTCACGAGAATGGGGGAGAAGCGTGATATATATATTTTGGGATGAGTCGTGGGTTTAATTCCACGATGGCAATTTAACGTGGGATGTTTGCCACGTAAGAAAATCGTCTGCCTTGTGTAATTTTATGTCAATTCTAAAAGACGGGAGTGGAGTAAGTTGTGGATGGGTAACCATAAGTAAAGTTGAGTGAGTGTTTGGTAACACGTTAAAGTTCAATGAGTAAGTGGTAACAACTTCAAAGTTGAGTGACTGTTCATTAAATTTACTCTTTTAAAATATGTATAACAGAATATGCAAGCAACAAGCAACAACAATAACGTGATGAAGATCAGCTGCAATTAGTTAATGTAGTTTGTATAGTTCTGGTTGTTAAGCTGTCAATGCTTATGTGCCAAACTTAGATTGATTGTATAGTTAAAAGTTAGTTAGAGTTAGTTCAGCCACTTACATTTATATA